TAGTTACACACACACACACACACACACACACACACACACACACACACATTAGTGTTCGTTTGATGACTCATTGTTTGATTGACCAGACATTGGACGGAGGTCTCGCCATACCAGCGAACGAAAATCTGCCTGACGACACTTTTATTATAGCTTTATTACTTTGTAATAACATATTAATTGCACTTATTTTTAATCAATCAGTTTTCTTTCAAACTAAATGTGGGATTTTGTTTTTTATATAGGTTAAGCAGATGAATCAGATTCCAGAGAGAAATAAATATGTTATTTTACAATTTCTCAGTGTATATACTGTATATTTTACGGTCAAGGAACATGTGGCATGACTAATTTGTGTCTTTGTTTATTTCTACAGGTCCATCTGAGTCAGTCAAAGATGTGTGAGTATTGCCAGAACAGCAAAATATACTGTGCAACCCACAGTTTTCACAAAAAATTGAGGTGACAAATTTTTATGAAATCTCTTGATTTTTTCAAAGGCTCTGACTTCAGAGAGAGAGAATGAAATAAACAGGAGGGAAGATGCTAGTAATGCTTGCAGTGTCCTTCAGTTTTTGGAACTGCTTGTCAATCAATTTCCCTTCTGAGAAAAAAACATAATGGGGATTTGAACACTGCCTGTCATTTTCCAAACAGTTCCTGGAATTATTCTCTCACATCTGAACAACAAGCACCCACACAGCAGGAGAGAGTCTTGCGCGCACATATCTGGGGCTTCACTGCCACTAAAACACACACACACACACACCACAATAACACACTATCACTGATACATCATACATGTTCACAAGTCTCTTTTGAGAACAATGTGATATTTGCAATACTGTTAATACAGTAACAGCTCTGCTAATCAAATTCTCAGAGCTTCTAATCAAGGTTCTCTGTAGGATAATCTCTTCAAAAACTTGATGCATGACCCCTAAAGATTTAATGAATCAAACAATTTGCCAGATATGATGGTCAAAATTTGTTCACTCAAATGTAATCATTCATAATATACCCTGAAGGTGTCACAGTAATATGGATAATAAAGCAACAAACTTTTCTAAGTTTTGTTTTTCGCCTCTTACATCAGCCCATCGGATCATCTCTTGGTTCTGTTCTGGTTCTGGGCCCACAGGCAGGACGATTCGTCTGTGGATGATGAGAAGAGGAGGAATTATGGTGGAGTGTATGTGGGCTTACCTGCAGACCTCAGCAATGTGGCCACCGGACAAACACCCTCCACACACAAAGGTGAGAAACAAGCCCAGCTTTGCATGCACTTCCACAGGTATCTTAAAAAAAGAAAACACCAAATGCATGTCCAGAAGTAAAAAATCAGTGCTTGCAAGGCAGCAAAATGTACATTTTAGGTTTTAGCTAATGAAAGAAAATGTAAATCCCTTTTTTGACAATCAGTGTTAGACAATCAAAACAGAGAACATATGCCTAATGAAGGATAAATAGATGCAAGAAACAAAAGAGTAATTACAATGAAGTGTACAAATAGATGTAAGACAAAACATTACAAAATCACAATCCAGCATGCATTTTTTATGATGACATCATTGTTGTCAGTGTAGTAATAGTCAGAGCATGTTCTGCTGTTCAAATCTCAGTTGAAGTGTTAAATGTATGCCATCTTAAACAGGAACAGTGCTTATCTGTGAACTTACAAAGTGGCATGATGTTCTAAGTCGAAAATAGACCTACTTATGAATTTTGTACCTTTTTCTCTCCTTACCTTGTTAATCCAATGAGACACACATTTTAAAAGAGAAAGTAGGCTAGAGGAAGTGTGAGTGTGAATGCAGTCAGAATGAAGTTTCTTCAGTGTCCTAAGAATCAGCCTCCTCTTCCTGAAACGTATTACTCACACAATGGAAACCAATTTCCTCAATTCACTCTGGTCTCATGTAAAGAATTTACGGAGACATGGAGATTTCTAAAAAATAAAAAAAATCTTAAATTAAAGCAATGAATTATATTTAGGACTGTGGACGTGTGTGTGTGTGTTGGGTGAGTTGTTCCTGGAGGCTCTGGGATGTGTTAATTGGAGAAACATCCCTCCGCAGGGAAAGCGGAAAGTGCTGAGGGCCAAAAAGAGTGCTAACAAAGCTAAAGGTTTGTGTGTGAGGGGAAACACATCATCAGGTAACAAACTAAATTTGATAAAATCATTTTCAGTAATTGAAATAAAACTGAAATAAAATCAAACATAAATTAGATGAAAAACTATTTTTGAAATACTTAAATTAGCCTACTAAAAATAAAACTGAAATAAGAACTAATTAAAGCTATATAGAAATAAAAAGTTAGGAAAAAAAGAAAAGTGAGAAAACAGTGCAACAAAATTACTTAATTACTAAAAATAAAATGAAAAATGAACATAAAAATATAAGCTTTTACAAAATAACAAATATTATAATAGTATATAAATAATAGGCTAAAATAACACTGATGTGTATGTATGTATATATGTATGTAACTAATGCATATTTTCATCAACAGAATAATGATATTCAGAGCTGAAGGCACAGTAAAGGTAAGCCCATCTTTGCTTTCTTACACAATGAAATCATTATTGATCAGTTAGCATTGTGGCTTAAAATTCTTACACATCTGAGTGTTTAATTTTACATCTTTAAAAAAGCAACGCAAACAACATAAATCATATGACAAAACAAAAGCTGCCTACAGCCTACATAGGCAGCTAGCTTCTAAGGGAACCTAACTGTAATAAGTGATGCTAGGCAGCAACTCTGTGTGACATAACTCAACGGATTTTGACATTAGCATGTCGCTAAGCTAACAGCGCAACTCTCTAAAAGGCATGAAAACACATAGCACACACATATTGAGTACAATAGCCCACTTTGAATTATACTGAACTCATTTTAAACAACACTAAATGAAATACAAGTATATTTAGACTTTGTTTTTCTTACTTCGTCCACCATCTTGGATTTTCTTCACTGAACTTACTGCAATGCAATCTGGGTTTTCTTACTCCAAGAAAGATATATGTGATTCTGCCTAAAAAATTGAGTTAAAACAAGGTATTTGACACCCATATGGAACAGATGTTGGGAAAAAGTGCTGGCTAAAAATAAAGGGTTCCGAAAGTAGGGTTTTGCAGCAATGCCATAGAAGAACCATTTTAGGTTCCCCAAAGTGAACAGTTCTTAAAAGAACCACCCCTTTTTCTTAGTGTAAAGAACAATCTAAAGAATGTTTTCCCACTCTACACTCTTAATAATAAAGGTTCTTTATTGGCATCAGTGGTTCCATGAAGAACCTTTAAAATCCGTGGAACCTTCCATTGCACTAAAGTTCTTTATAGTGGAAAAATGTTCTTTAGTTTATTAAAACATTTTTCACTCTAAGAAAAAAAATGGTTCTTTTAAAAACTGATTACTGAACGGTTCTTTGTTTTTGTTTTTATTGCATCGTTACGAAAACCTTCTCTTAGAACCTTTATTTTTATATAGTATATTGTGGACTGCAAAGGTTTCATGGATGTTCAAGGTTCTTCATGGCCACTTACTATCCTTATCAGAGAAATATTTTTTGGATAGATACACAATGTATTTGTGTGTACATTGACTGCTCACTTTCTTATTTAACTCTCAGGACTTTCCAGAGGGAATCTTGGCTGAAAATTGTTGCGTAATAATCTCAACAGGATGCAATTTTCGTCATCGTTGATTGGCCCGTTGGGACTCGCCGGAATCCTCTGAGAGACAATCATCTAATTGATCTTTCTGGAAACTGAACTGTATTTAGTTCTGCTGACAAGGTCAGAGGTCAAAGACAAATCTGAGTTTGTTAGCGTCACAAAGTTCTACCAGCACCTTGCTTCTCAGGACAATGACACACAGTTGTTAATGACAATCACAGAGCAATGAAGATGCTAAAAACATGTCTCTGAGCTCAAACGATGTTGCTCTGTACGTTTATTAAGAGGTTTCACAAGGGTCAAGTGGTTTTCAAGGGGGAAATGGGACTCTTAAGGCACTACTTATGCACTCACGAGTCTGTGTTTTTGTTCTTTCACTCTTTCAACATGATTCACATCCTTTCAGACATTCTCCTCTAGTCTTAAGAAAAAATCCATTTTGTGAGAGTAATGTTTGCAAGATGGCTAAAGAGGTACATGAAGTGCCTTTGAAGGAGCTTGTTGCTGGTCTGTCAGGTGAGTCCTCTTAGTGCTTCTTCAAGCCCTGCACTGTCTTAAAATGAGTGTGTCTGTGCTAGCAGCGCCTGACCTGAGAGAACTCCGAGGACTGTGTAAGTAGGCCAGCGCTCGCACTTTTTAGCATCAGGTCAGCTGGAACTCACGCTCCTGTGACACAGGGGAGAAGAGATGAGGAGAGAAAGACAGAGAGCGCTTGAGCCAGACTGTGTCACAGCGGGTGCTGAATGAGACACCGATTCCTGAGGGATGGCAGGATGTGAGCCGACACTGTGACACGGGTTCTAGCTGAACTCCCATCAACTCACTTTCCTCACTCCTTAAAGAGACCCAGAAAGAAATGCGGTTGTTATGTTGTTCCAAACCTGTATACTTTGTGTGTGTGTGTGTGTGTGTGTGACACAAATGGAAACTGTGTAAGTAGGCCAGCGCTCGCACTTTTTAGCATCAGGTCAGCTGGAACTCACGCTCCTGTGACACAGGGGAGAAGAGATGAGGAGAGAAAGTCAGAGAGCGCTTGAGCCAGACTGTGTCACAGCGGGTGCTGAATGAGACACCGATTCCTGAGGGATGGCAGGATGTGAGCCGACACTGTGACACGGGTTCTAGCTGAACTCCCATCAACTCACTTTCCTCACTCCTTAAAGAGACCCAGAAAGAAATGCGGTTGTTATGTTGTTCCAAACCTGTATACTTTGTGTGTGTGTGTGTGTGTGTGTGTGTGTGTGTGTGTGTGTGTGACACAAATGGAAGAATTTTGAAGAATGCACTGGTCATTTTAAGGACTATAAAAGCATCATTAAAGTAATATAATTATATATTTTAAATTTAAGTTTGGGGTCAATAAGATAAAAAGATAAAATAAGTCTCTTATACTCACCAAGTCTGCATTTATTTGATCAAAAATACAGTAAGTAAATATTATTACAAATTAAAAGAATTTTAAAATGGATTTTATTTTTTTGATGGCAAAGCTGAATTTCCAGCAGCCATTATGTGTCTTCAGTGTCACATGATCCTTTAGAAATCATTCTAATATGCTGATTTGCTGCTCAAGAAACATTTATTATTATTATCAGTGTTGAAAACAGTTGTGCTTAATATTTTTGTGGAAACCATTAACATTTTTTTTTTCAGGATTCTTTGATGTTCAAAGTTAAAAAAACAACAACATTTATTTGAAATAGAAATCTTTAGTATATCTTTACTGTAATTTTGATCAATTTAATGCGTAAATTTATTGTTGAATTAAAGTATTAATTTCTTTCAAAAAATGAAATCTTTCTGACCCTGAATTTTTATATTTATGTACATATACACATATATTGTAAGAGAATAACAAACTCTAAGAGCATATATGAATGTATGAACCTTTTTCCCTATTTTTAGACATAGAAGGGAATCAATTTATTTATTTTTCATAAATATGAAGTACATTTGCACCCGTCCTCTCACACACACTTCTCAAGTGTGTGAAAGCTCTTTCACACATCATAGACGAGAGATTCTAAAAATGAGCGTGTTTCTCAGGTGCAGCTCTCACCAGCAACCTCGCATGTAATGCAGTAGTTTCTTGGAAAATATTTTAGTCCGAACCCTTTTTTCTGCTTCTTGAGTGGCTACAGTGCCACCAGCGACTCTCCTGAGTGACTGTTCAAAGGCAGAATGTCAGGTGTGATTGTTCCAGTGATTTTACTCAGTTGTTTGAATAGACTTTTTAAAGATGGGCTCCCCCCCAAGAAAGGTGTAGCACTATTGCTCTGTTAAAACACTGCTCTTTTTGTTTGAGCATCCCAGCAGCAACACTGGCTCAACAAATGGCGTGAGTTTAGGCAGGACTTGTCATTTGTCTGAACTGGAAAAGGAGGAATGTTACTAAAACCTGAATGAAAACGGTAAATTATTATTATTATTATTATTATTATTATTATATTGTAGTTGCTATTGGAGCTGTTAGTGGCACATAACATCTTTAAATACAAATTTCTCACACAATTTCAAAAACAATCTGGTAATTTAACATTTCCCTTTAGGGGAAAAGGTGTCACAGCTTTTAATGTGTCTTGTAAAGAATTAATTTGAAGAAATTGATTAAAAATGGCATTTCAAATCTCAATTAGTCAATTATGTACTCAGGAATTCTCAGAAAACTGTAATATAGTAAAATACTCATTTAAGGTCATTCAGTGCAGCATAAACATTATTTACATAATACTGTCATCTCAAAAGGTCTTTAATTTCCACATGATTTTAATAAAAGTTAAATTAATGTGATTATGAATTTGTAAGGAGTTGTTGTTCAGTACAAGTCATGTTAAACTGCCATATTTGTCACATTCATCAGCATCGAAGTGACTGGGTTCAGTTTTGCATGCATCTCTATCACCTGTACTTGTTCTGTAATGGTTGTAAGCTCTCATAAGGGACTATTTCATTCTGAACCTGGCACAATGAGCTCTCTTTCTCAAATGTGCTCTATGATCTAACATTAGAAAGGGATTGCGAACAAGCAGTTTCTGGTGCTGCATTTCATTACTGCTGCCAATGTCAGTTTGTTATTTTTATATCAGACCCTTTATGTTGTATTAAAGAGACACTTGCTAATAATACTAGTATAATACTTACAATTATTATTATGTATTGTATTAAATATATTAGTTGTTACGTCAATATTGCAGGGCAAAAATTAAAGGGTACGTATTATTCGTTATTGTATGTGACTACATACATTTTTCAACCCATTATCTTTGTCAGTTTCACATATTCTCTTTTTTTTTTCACCAGAGAGCTGGTTAGCTCTAGTTAGATGTGAGGCCCCCGGGGGGTCTGTCTGAGCTCTGCAGGAGTTCTGTGTCTGCAAGGAGACTCAAGTCTCACTGGTGCTCCTGATGATTCAGTGAAGCTCAGACTTCAGCAGCAGTGGCAGGCATCCTAACCTTTCCTCATGGCTGCGTTTGGCACTTTAAAGGCAACTTTTCCATACATTATCTCTGACATTTCACATAGATTAGTCTTGCATGCTTATATCCCTGTGGGATTAGAAAACTCCCAACAGTGTGACTGGCAGAAATGAAAATATCTCACACAGTCTAACGCGATTAAGGAATTATATAAGGAATTATACGCTTCATCTATGAGTAGTATAGCTTTAATATATTTATCTAAAGTGATATAATCCCAATGGATTTTATGCAATTACGCCTTTATACCATAAGGTGGTGCCATAGTGCCATTTTAAATGATAATGTGTCTCAATTTCTTCATTGACCTTGATTAATATTACATTATGGGCTGCTATGGGCGTTTGTATAAACCTGTCAGGAATAATATTTTATGATAGACAGTTAGCTTTTCAATTATTAAACAGTTGCTTGGTTGTTGAAGGACATACTTTGGGCTTCAGACTCCAATGAGCTGAAAGATTTAAGTGCTTGTTAAGGAATAGCAAACATGTGGAGTATTATATGTCAGATTTGGGCACTAATTGGCCTTTCTCAATGTCCTGAGCACAGGCCCGCAGATGTAATTTTTCCCTGTAACCCACATATAAGTGCACCAGGGGCCCAAGAGACGGTGAGAGCGGTACCGCCCTCAAAATAGACACGGAGATTTAAATTTGGTTTTCAGGTTATGTGCCTCCTGATTAAAATACACTGCTGCAGACATGGATGGAGATAGTGAGGTTCAGCAGGGCTGTTCTGTTTACCCAGTTAAAGCAAGAACTTATTTTAAAATGCATTCAGTAACATTGCACATGTTGTTAAGCTATTACAAAAGATGTTGTGCACTATGTGCTATAAATGGCATTATAATACACATATGTTCAGTAATACCCAAGTATTTACCTAGTTTAGAGTCAATGACACACCAAAATAGTTGTATGCACAGCTTGATACGTCAGTAACAATTATGAAAGGATTCCTCATTTTTAAAATTATATTATTTATAGTTAAGTTTATTACCTTGAAATATTAATCTCATTCTGATGGTACACTGATTTCTAGGCGAATGGCTTCTGTTTATTTCCAACTCTCCGCCGCCAAAGTTTGTTTTTGAAGTACATAATTCAACCGGGTACGAAATTCCGCGAAAAGAGTGGATTGCTTTATGGCAGCTATCCACTGTAATTACCATAGTGATGTATTTACGACAGTGAACTCACTTAAATGTAGGGGGCTCTAAAGTCGCAAAAATAAACAAAACTGCATCAAGTTGCTTTAACTATCCACAATTATATAATCAATTGCATTTAATTATTAGTAGGCCTATTTAGCATCATTCCCCCCCCTGCTGTCTGCAATCTTATCAGGACAGACAAGTCGCAACCCTTCAGTCCAGCACTGCTGATCTATGTCTGTCTGGGAATAAAAAGAGCCTTCCTGTATTTCTGAAAACATGGGTTGCCGAGTTCATTTCGCATTGTTGCTATTCTCAGGAAACCATTCATTATGGGCTATTAAGATGTTCAGAGCTCAAAACGGCCACTCTTGC